TGCAAAAGTAGCCATTACTATTTAGTCAAGCAGTAGAAATATGGAGATAAATACTACTAAATACTAGTAAATAGTAATAAATCGCACATAGCAAGTAAATTATAACTTAAATTTAGAAACAGTTTACTTTTTATTTAAATCTTGATACAATTTTCTGAAATTTCGTTTTCTTGAATATTTTGGCTCTTCAGGAGGCATGCAGCTTTAATGTGAATAATTAGAGCTTCGTGAAATCATCATAAGATCATCAAACATAAATCATGTTGTATTGCAGGTGCTCATGTCGTAATACGATCTCTCAAAGCCACCAGGAAGTCGTGTAGTCTCTCTAGAAGTCCGATGTTTGAATTGTACGGTGCCCATTTATGAGCCGGTTAACAATGATTTAGTTTACAATGTATTACTGAATGACTTTACCATCAAAGGCGGAGACGGGTTTACAATGATTCGTGATGGAAACCTAGACCATATACAAACAAGTAAGTAAACAAGACAAAATTTATTAAAATTCATTTCATATCTTTTTATGTCATATAGATATGCTGATGAATAACTTTGAAATCTTAAACTTTCAAAGATTGTCATATACATGTATCTTAATTTGTTTCTTTTTAAAAAATAAAAATATGCCTTTATTTCTGCACAGATTCTCTGGATTCCGACGTGTTTAAAACCTATCTCACAAAACATAACCCCGTATTTGCCGATACTGAGGGTAGGATAAGGTTTATTAATTCATCGGAGACTTCTTCTGCATCGACATCATCTACATCAACGTCGCCATTTGCATCAACGAAAGTACCGTCTGATAAAGGGTGCATTAATAGCGCCGACAGCATAGGGCGCTTGTTTCATATGCATGTCATCATAATAGTAGCATCTTTACAGCAATTTATGTGACCGCAATGTTCGTTTTATATTTAAAGCAGCATGCCTCCAGATTCATGTTGATTTCCATTCAAATGTTTAAAATGTACTTAATAATGTGAATGTGAAGTGAACAAAACAGTAATTTACACATTTTAACGGCATTTACAATCCACGTAAGTTACCAGAAAGAGGTCATAATATGCAAATACTAAAACACCGGTCTTTAATTGCACATAACATGTAAATGATTTCTTGAATCTTGAATATTTCTACTTTTTTTAAACCTTTGTACATTTTTATCAAGTGTGATTTTCATGAAATATTTGGCTCATCTGGAGGCATCTTAAACAGTTATCAGATGCAAAAGTATAAAGGTTGTTTTGTTGTGTTCATAGCATACACATTAGTTGATATGTCAATTGCTTTTTGTAATGTCTTTGTATATAGATATAGGTTGATTTTCAATTATTATTTTGTGTTCAGATGCCAGGCAGATTCCGTATTTGTAAAATGAATAATACATTATCTCACAATATAATATTCAAATAGCAACTTAAACATCATTTAACAGAACCGTATTATGATTGTAGTAGAGTAGTACAGTAGTATATAAATAACACATGGGTTTGTGGGTAACTGTAAAAATATCATCCCGAGGAAAATACTGTTACCCGAGGCGTAGCCGAGGGTAACAGTATTTATACGAGGGATGATATTTTTACTGTTACCCACAAACCCATGTGTTATTTATTTTATTACCCCGAACAAATACTGTGATGATCTGAATGTGTCAACTAAATCCAACCGTTACAAAAATAAGCCAAGAGAAGCAATAACTAAACTGTCCTTACCTTGCAAGTTTTAAGTGCACTGTAGGCCTACTTGAGAAGCTGTTTTTTCTTTTATCCTTTAGGCAAGTGATGATATCTACCAGTCATAAACATAAAATAAGCTGTGTTTTATTCAGAAAACAAAACACTAACCCATTTATAAGGTTATGATCTGTGAAATCTGATCCTTCTGCATCCAGAATATTCTTCGCATGGTTTTTGACAAAGTGCATTTAGAAAATAACGATGATATCATACAGATGTCTGTCCACCAACTCTATCTGTAACGTTTCACTGGTTAAAATTGTTAAATTATCCTTTATTGCATGCTTTAATTGTCTGCACACAAAATTATTTACATTACAATTACTTCCGTTGAAAACGGATGTTTCCTGTTGACTATTCAACAAAAAGATATTTAATACGCGAAAGGGACTCTAGGGTGCAAAGAACTAAATTTTATCAGAGTAATAGTTACTTCGGCGATGCCCTATCGTCGTAAATAAGAATGAATCGAGAAAAAAATGGTGGCCATTTTATTTCATTTTATTTAGAAAATAGACCACGTGACCAGATTTTATACTGTTAAAAAATACTGTTACCTATTTAACAGTACAAAATTCTTAGTCACGTGGTACACTTGCATTAACAGTAAGAATAACTCCCAGAGGCCTATGGGAAATTAGCATGACGAAAAAAGTGAGGGGTAATAATATAAACTATTAGATGGAGGTCACTAGCTAAAAGGGAGACAGACACAACGCTTTGATCATGAACTATAACAAACACATTGAATAAAAAACACGTGCTTGTCAAATAAAAGATTTAAACATGAATGCCTTACATTTATTTTATAAGAAGAAAACAAATCAACGTTAAAATATGATAAACAAGATCAACAAGGAAAGGCGGCGTTCAATGAACGCTACCCCCATTCGACCCAGCAACAAGAACCAGTGGCAAGGAGCCCAGGCGGACCTGTAAGTAAATCTGTAACAAATAACTTTTTTTTTTTAACAAATATACATTAATTGTAACTAATGCAATTGTAATCATTCGTAAATTAATTCATATTTGGCTACATCGGGGTCTTTATCTTTCATTAAATGGCATTCGTATCAGGTTGTTGCATTGATAACAAATTACCAGCAATTAATTTAATCAATTTGTAAATCTAATTAACATATTCATTTACTCTCAAACTATAACTAAATTTGCTTATTAGCTTAGTTGCTGAAATTATTTAGGAAATTCAAGCAAGTTTACAAAGAAAATATGAAACTGTACGTAGTGTTAGCATTGTTAGTTGTAACATTGCGCTATTCGGGAGGCCGCCTTAGCGAGAAGATCTTGGAGCCAAGACAAGAAGGAGACTGTTCAAGATTTGTGTACGAGTATAAACTTTTAGAGAAACTTATCACACTTGAGACAGAATATGCAAAGTTACAACAACGAATAGCAGATCTAGAGAAAACAAGGAAGAGCTCAACAAAGGTATCGGTTCATGTGCGTCTTGCAAAAACAACACCATTAAGTGGTACAGAAAGAGTCAAATATGACGTGGAGATATATAACACAGGAAGCGCATACGATTTGAAAAATGGTCTGTTCGTAGCTCCAGTGCCTGGATTATATCTTATACACGTTCAAGTTTGCCTCGGTGTGTCTAACCAATGGATTGATTTAAATATTGTAAAAGACGGGGCAGTTGTTGGACGAGTGTTTTCTGGAGACCATAATTACCATTCGTGTGGTTCAGAAGCGTTGAACATACATCTACAGAAAGATGATACTGTCTGGGTAGCAAGGGAAGCTGGGACGGCAACAAGTTTAAATCAAGATCATGGATGGAACTCCTTCAAAACCATATTGATTCAAGAGGATTAAAATCATACACATGCTTACTGGAATATAAAATCAGTAAATTTGTTAAGTCAAAATAATTATTACACTATGCTAGCATATATTGTAACTTCTTCTTTTACAAACACACATACATGTATTTACAAATATAGTAGAGCTACTGTTTTCGTGGAATATATTGGTAACCAGTTGAAACTATACAATACATTATAGAAACATATAACACTTTTCCTGCAGGAACAGAAAGTGACCACCCTTTGACGCCAGTAATGAGCTATGTATGCATGTACACACGTGCGATACAGTTTGACCTGGATAAAGCTGTGCATGTTCGATTTAGAAATTTAGCAGGCTTGGTGTTAAATGAATACCGTGCAAATTGTAATGAGAGGTACGATCTCTTAAAGGCATTTTTACATTTCATTTCAAAAGCACGTTATTCAACACTAGTGCCATACTGTTATCAATGGCTACATACAATTTGGAATACATAACCATTAACAGTGAAGTTCATTTAAACATTCATTTTGACTTTCCTTTAATTTTTTTTGCGTCGGAAATTATTACTGTCTATCATTTTGATCATTTCTACCAACTAAAATTTATGATAAACAACTTACGTTTTATTCTTCCGTTTGAGACACATACGTGTATTTTAAGCAATATGAAGTATTGTTGCCCTTTCACATCTTACGTACGTGTGTGCTTATAATTTATTTTTCATAAATACACCTTATAAGTCGTTTTCATTTAATCCTTGAATTTTTAACTAAGATTTTGTAAATGATAAGAAAATATGCATCAACAAATAGTAATATGTGGTAATTAAAAAAGATAGATTATGTCAACTTGTTCTTCCAAAACCTGTTGTTGCTAAGTGATCGCCAGATTTTTTTCCAGTTTCTTTTCGCGAACGACAACCATGTTAAGAATAGTCAAACAAAGTATGTCTAGTTATTTCTCTTGATGTGTGTATTTTATTGATTCAATAAACACAGTATATAAATGTTTATGAAAACCTTTACAGAGTACGCCCACATATTTATTTATTTTTTATTTTCGGTTTCGATTTCACAATACATCCTCGTCAGGTGTAAGAAATAGAAACCTAAGGAATAAGGGATCAAACAAAAAATAAACAAGGTAAGGAACAAAGAACTTACTTTCTTTAAGTCTAATCGATAAATAGTTAATTATTTAAAAACAATTAAATGTGTATAAGAGTAGTAATGTCTATGTTTATTTGTTCATTTTGAAAATAGAAACAATATCATATGCATGAATATTGTTGTTCAATATTTAGTTTAGATAAATTACGTATTTAATTAGATGTATATGTTATAGTTCATATATTAGAATTACATACAAATTAAATGCAAGGGAGCGTTAGCTTATAGTTCACTTCGCCCGTTTTTGGTCGATCCGTTTCATGTAACTTATACCACGCCCACAAAGGACCCGTTTGTACCTCGACGTCAGACTGACTGCTTAGTTATGTCATTATAATTCACAATAAACTGACCCAGATTTAAAACAGAAAGTAACGGTTTTCCTTCCTGCTTGATTCACTTTTGACCAATATTTCAAATTTTCAATAAGGGTGGTACGTGGTTTATCTGCATTGTTTATTTAAACTAAATGCCACTTATTTGGTCAAGGCGAATGTTGCTATTATGGTCTTTTTGAAACACTGTACCGTGTGTACATACATTTATGGAAAGCCATGGCTGTCTGATATTGTTCTTTTTCAATTGATTGGCGACGCCGGTGAGCGGCGTCGTCTTTTATGGAATGCTTTTTATTTTGGCCTATGGAAGGAGCTGTTATTATTAGCAGTTAATTTCATGTTGTGTTAATTATATTTATTTTGATTCGTAAAAATCAAGTAAACAGATATGTTGTTATATTTGTATTTAATAACTTTATATAAAAAGCATGTGCATTGTGATATTATTTTCACGAAATTGCAGGCTCAGATTAACAGCTTGTCCCTTTGTTTTATTGACAATACTAAAACCCGGATTTCGAATATCGTTGTGGTCTACATTGATACTCATTCATTTATATATTTTCAAAACTTTCCTACAAGAAGAAAGTTCACCTGCAAATGAGTATTAGGATAGGTAATGGACTGTTGTAAACGGTTATCCTATTGATTTTATCCATATTACGTTTATCTGTTGAACAGAATGGTTGTTTTTACAAAGTGTACCAGTATCCGGATGTTGACAGCTATCCGATTTTCTGCAATTACTGCTGTCACATGGCCATCTATTTTTTTATGAATACTTTACCATTAATTTGCATAGCATAATTAAAATGAGCCTGCAACATTTCTTAATTTTGATGTTTAGGGTGTTCTTTTGGGTTTCACGTTTTCTTTATTTCAAGGGGAAGTAACTCATGTTTTCTAAATTATTTGTTCTTTTCTGTCTATCTTAGGTATTACTTACAATTTTTGTTTTATAAAATTTACCAGTTGTAAGGTCATCAAAAGCATAGAGGCCCTGATGAGTAAATATTGATATATATATATATACTTTTACTGGCTTTATATACCCAATATTTCATATTTATTTAATAGAAACTTGGAATTATTAATGTTATGTGCATACATTTATATCTTAGTATATTGGTATGATGAGACTTATAATATTTCTGAATTTAAAGAGTTGCAGTTATGTCATTATTATTAAAGAGATGAGACTTTCATTTAAAGTTATAAATGATAATACATGTATTGATTGAAAATGTCCTGAAACTTGGATCAAGCAATATAATTGATAAAGCCTCAAAAAATCATGTTCTGAATAGTTATTCTAATTTTTTTCTAACATGTGCATAGTTTGAAAAGGACAACTTCTGCCTTATCTATTTGTAATGGAGGGACACCGGTCTCAATCTCCAGGTCTCCTGAGTCAACCCGACAACAGACTTTTCATAGAGTAGATTGATACTTGTCCTTAAATAAATTTGTACACTAAATTTTATAGTGGGTGATTTGTGCCACATGAAAACCAACAAAGTACAAAAAGTAACCGGGCGCCAGATGAAAACATGAAAATACAATCTACTACAAAGTGGTTCGTTTGTTGCATTTTCATGTTTTCGCCCGGTGCCCTTGATGTAAAATACAAATCAGCCTTCATAAAATTTCTTATCATAGATATTGTACATGTATTAGCACAGTTATATTCTCTTTCAAATTGACCTGTTATAAATAATGGCACAACCAATAACTGTCTAAGCCCTTTTTAGTAAAAATAATTATACAATAATAATTATATAAATTGTTATTTTAATTAAGACTATGAGTATGTAAGGTTTTTTTTCTTATTTATTAATTAAGAATTTATTATCTGTTAATTTAAAAATCTAAATATCTGTCACGGTTTAGAACTGTTCACTATTTAGGGGAGAAAATGTGTAAGCGGCCAGATAGCTCAATCGCTACAGCCGCGGTACATTATTCTGTGGGTCACAGGTTTGAGTTCTGGACAAGCTGAAAGTTTTTCTCATCCTGTTACTGCAAATAACCATGAGTTTAATTCACTATGCTCTGTAAACATCAGAAATTCAAGTACATGAATCAATATAGTGGGGAAAAAGGTTTAGGTTTAGAACTGTTTCATTATTAAAGAGAAAATGTGTAGCCGGCCGGATATAGCTCAGTTGGTCTTCTGAAAGTCATGGGTTCGAGTCATGGTCAGGCAGTTTCAGTCAGGGTTTAGAAGTGGTTTTTCAACTGACACATGTTTGATTCATTTAATAGATTGCATTTAATTTGAAATGGACAAAGGCAGTATTGCGTGATACTTTTAAATCTACAAAAAGCATTTGGTACAGTTGATCACACTAAACTGCACATGAAGAAGTTCTTTTTTCTTCTTCTTCATGTCTTCAAGCATCTGCCATATGTAATGACATTCTTGCATGGTTCAAGTCTTATCTCTGATAGCAGCTGGTGAATGTGGCTGGTACTCCTTCTCTCTGAATACCTATGGTGTCCCCCTGATGTTCATTTTAGGTCCTCTTTTATGTATGACATGTCTGCAACCCTAAGCAATAAGCTTTTATTATATGCACAGGCACAAGCATCAGACCTGGGAAGAAAAAAATATTACCAGATTGATAAAAAAACCTGTGTTCATCTTAAAAGTGTCACAAACCAAAAAAAAAATGTAAATGATGACCCCCTTTAAAAATATACTTTAAGTTAATAGTATATTTTTAAAGGGGGTCATTATTTACATTTTTTTTTGGTTTTTGACACTTTTAAGATGAACACAGATTTTTTATTAATCTGGTCATATTTTTTCTTCCCAGGTGTGATACTTGTGCCTGTCATTATATGATGATGACTCAGGTATCCTTGTATCTGGTAAAGTAAATCTTAAGATTGGTTTATTGACTATAAATTGTCTTTGCATCTTGGCAAGACAGAGTCTATTCTTTTTGGTTTAAGTTTCAACATAAACTGGGCCAAGCCTCCAGGTCACATGAAATGGTACTGCTATAACAGTGCACATCTTTTGTTAAGTATTTAGGTGCAAACCTGGATCAAATTCTTTTGGCGTCGCCCTTTGATGCTTTGCATCAATGCTTTTCTTGTTTAACCATTTGGATAATATATAAGTTCACTTCGATTATATATGAATTTAAACCACCTTCTTATTTAACCGGAATCCATTATATTAATCCACAGTTACACTATATGAAACCATACCGTCAGTGTATGAAACCGAGATAGCAATATATAAGTTGATTTTCTCAATATATGATACCAATTCTTCAATATATTGTACCACAGTAGCCATGTATGGAACCAGATGTCCTTATATGAAACCGAATTATCAATATATCAATTCATTTTTCAATAAATGAAACCAATTTATCAATTTATGAAACCAAAGTAGAAATATATATAAGTCGGTTATCACATTATATGATACCAATCAATTTTTCAATATATGGTACCAAAGCAGCCATATATGGAACCAGATATCCATATATTGAACCGAATAATCAATATATTAATTCATTTCACAATGTATGGAACCGAAGCAGCAACATATAAGTTGATTATGAAATTGTATGATACCAATTCTTCAATATATTGTACCAAAGTAGCAAAATATGGAACCAGATGTCCTGGTATGAAACCGAATTATCAATATATCAATTCATTTTTACAATTTATGACACCAATTTATCAATGTACGGAACCGAAGTATCAATATATGACTTGATTACCACATTATATGATACCAGTTCTTCAATATATGGTACCAAAGTAGCCATATATGGAACCAGATGCCCTTATATGAAACCGAATTATCAATATATTATTTAATTTTTACAATATATGAAACCATTTTATTAATGTATGGAACCAAAGTAGCAGTATATAAGTTGATGTTACATTCTATGATAGCAATTTTCATTATATGGAACCAAAATAGCCTATTTTCCAGTCAAAGGCCAAGGCCACTGGGTTCTGTAATTACAATGCATACGCTTTTTATGAAATCAATAATTATTTGACTTTTGTAGGTAGATTAATCTTAATGTGTCCTACTGGCCATGCTCATTTTTTATCAAAGGTAAAGGTCGAGATGAACTTATCTTTTAAATATGTTTTTCTTAATGGTCAGTAAGACCCAGTAGCTTAAACTTTACATACATATATAATGATAAGTTTTGCCTGCACAGCCTATTTTTGGGCCAAAGTGAATGTGACGTTAAATTCAAAATTTCCTTATTTAGAGAATGTGCAGTATGCCAACAGTAAAGCACGCTTCTACAAGGAATATTGGCGCGAAACTGTACTACCGGTGCAAGGACAGAATATAGCCTTTAAAAAAAGTCCCGTCAATATAATGACATTTTGGTTCAACGCAATGCTCATTTGCTTCCATATATTGGGAAAGTGGATTCGTATACTAGCAACCTATGTTAATATATTGAGGAATTGGTGTCATATAATGTAAAAATCAACATACACATTGATCAAATGGTTTCATATATTGTAAAAACGATTAAATATATTGATTATTCGGTTTTATATAAGGTTATCTGGTTCCATATATTGCTAATTTGGTATCATATATTGATGAACTTGTATCATATAATGTGATAATCAACTTACATATTGCTACTTCGGTTACATACATTGATAAACTGGTTTCATATATTGTAAAAATGAATTAATTATTGATACATCGGATTCATATAAGGATATTTGGTTCCATATATTGCTACTTTGGTACCATACTAGTATATCGAAGAACAGGTACCACATCAGGGCCGGCTCAACTTATAAATTGATATTTTGGATCAATACACCGATGAAATGGTTTCATATTTTGTAAAATTGAATAAATATATTGATAATTCGGCTTCATTTAAGTGCATCTGGTTCCATACATGACTTACTTGGATCCATATATTGAAGATCTGGTATCATATAATGTGATAATCAACTTATATATTGATACTTTGGTTCAACACATTGATGAAATATAATCATATATTGTAAAAAATGAATCAATATATTGATATTTCGGTTTCATAATATAAAGATATCTGGTTCCATACATGGCTACTTTGGTTCCATATAGTGAAAATTGCTATCATATAACGTGATAATCAACTGATATATTGCTACTCTGGTTCCATATATTGATTAAATGGTTTCATATATTGTAAAAAAGAATTAATATATTGATAATTCAGTTTCATATAAGGATATCTGGTTCCAAACATTGCTACTGTGGTACCATATATTGAAGATCTGGTACCATATAATGTGATAATCAACTTATATATTGATACTTCTGCTCCATACATGATAAAATGGTTTCATATATTGTAAAAATGAATTAATATATTGTTAATTCGGTTTCATATAAGGATATCTGGTTCCATACATGGCTACTTTGGTACAATATATTGAAGAATTGGTATCATATATTGATAAAATCAACTTATATATAGCTACCTTGGTTTCATACACTGACGGCATGGTTTCATATATTGTAACTGTGGATTGATATTATGGATTCCGGTTAAATAAGAAGGTGTTTTCAAATCATATATAGTCGAAGTGAACTTATATATTATCCAAATGGTTAAATAAATTGAAAAAGAACAATATCAGACAGACATGGCTTTCCATATACATTAGTTTAGTCATGTAGTTTGTTTTGTCCACACTTAAAAGGTACACGAGATTTAAACAACCTGTATCATTAAATAGTGTATCATAAATTATCGACCAGCCAGTTTGCTTTGTCGTTGATAAAGAAAAAACATGTAATTTCAGACAGTGAGTCACGATCATGTACAAGTGCAATGTATGCCATGAATCGTTTCCAACTCGCAACAGAGGAAAATCACATAGAAAACAAAGACACGGGACTTTAAGATGTAGGTGTAGGCGCATGTTTGTTTATGAAAAAGAGATGGAGCAACATAGAGCAGACATGATTAAAAATGCTAAATTCTATCGATGCCCTGATTGTTGCTTGTCTTTCCATTCTGAACTGGAAAAACAGCATCATTTACGATCGTTTAAGCATGGTTGTCCTGAAAATTACAGTTTTGAAGAACCTGCTGAGCGGACGAAACCAAAAAGGCACAGACTAAGAAGAAACAAGCCAGGTAGTGGCGACCATGCGTGCCATACTTGTGCCAGAAAATTTGCAAAATCAAATAGCTTACTGCAACATCAGAAGAGTTTGGGTCACCTCGCACAGAATAGTGGAGCAAGAGAACAAGTCAGTGTTGATTCCAACAAGGGATATATAGCAGTAAATCAAAGGGACATGACTGTTTCAAGAGATAGAGTAGACACTACAGCAAGAAAACGATACTTTGATGATTTCTATGAGAGAAATGTAAAAGTAGATAAAAGTGACATGACTATGTCAAGAAATATAGTAGATACTACACTGAACAAGTTAATGTCCAATGTAAGAGATCAACGAGGAGGCACAATGTTTAACCCGAATGTGATCAAAGCTGGTAGCGTTCCCATTAATGCTAAAATTGGTAAAGCCGATGAATTTGATACAAATATTGAGCTAAACGTTATTCCTACAGACATACGACAACACGGAACGGTGAACTTTGGCTATGTTACCAATGACGACACAGTAACATCATTTTTACTCCTTTTCAATCTAAGTAATATGCATATATTTAAGAAATTATCCGTATGTTGATACATGTATAGATAAATATACAAAAACAGCTTGTTCTGTTCTTAAATTTTTGTAAGTGAAATTTTAGATTCTTATTAAATGCATTCGTTCATCTAATCTAGATCATTCTTTTACTAAACTTTAATTGAACAACACTGAATATAATATTTGTTACTCAAGGCAAATGTCCTTCTATCTTTATTTAGGCAAGTTTGAAAGTGAAACGTGACTTATGTTCGGAAACCAAAACCATTCCAAAGGGATATGCAGCTGTAAAGGTAGAAAAAGGAAGCGTTCCAAACACTCTCCTCCATGATAATTTTATCATTCCATGGAAAGTCAAGCAAGACCTTTTCAATAAAATTGAAACTGCAAAGAAAGATCTATCATTATCAAGTAAGTGTTGGAAACTAAATAATAATAATATCTAAGTTGTTGATAAGCATAAATCCTGTTAACCGTTAATACAGTTAATTTAATAAATTGCTATTCTTTGCATTTAAAATACTAAAATATCAAATAAGTATGTTTATGACATTAATATATGCTAAAGTCCATTTGTCGACAATTGTCATCAAATTTGCAAAGTAAGTGACCGGAATTTTAAATATCAGTAAGTGGCTTTGTTCAGCAAATATCAAACGAAAAAAACCCAAAACACACTGGATTATGCATATGCTGTCATTTGTAAATTATTCATAAAATAATTGCCAAAATTTTAGATGTAGATATAAGCAGCAAAGCACATGGTCCAGCTTTGACACTGACAATTCACCCAGATAGATATAGCGGCGTAAAACATGATATAAACGTAGATATCACACTATCTATAAAATCGGATATCTCCGTCACAGACCACGGATGGCCTCGACCAGCGACTAAAAGAGCTATGGATAAAGAATTAATTGATGAGGTTATCAAAACTGGAACACACTTGGTACCGAAGAAGGATCAAATGTGGTCAATTTCTAACTCTAAAGCCGAGAGGACATTACTGTCGTCCATTGATGCCGGCAATGGTTGTAGGAAAAAAATATACAAAGTAATGAAAAAACATGTCCAAACTTGCAAATCACAGTCGTTAGGCGGACTTCCGGAAATATCTTCTCATATTTTGAAGGTATAGTATGAAAAAGTATACAATACGTGAAATGAATTAATTTATTGTCCATAAACCAGTGCACTATATCTTTTAAAAACTATTTAATATTTCTTTTCAACAGGAAACAGTTTACGATTTTCATATGGTAGAATTAGAGAATAAATGATAAACGGCCTGAATAAGGATTTTTTTAACCTTTGATACACATTGTTTAAGCTTTTAATAAATCTGAAATGTTTAAAATATTTAAATACATTAAATTTTAGACGCAAGTACTTTGGTCCAGTGAGAAACATTCGAGCAAGGAATACTGGCACGAGAATAATCGTGACACATGTCTTGTGGACACAATGAAAGAAATGGAGTTAGCACTTCTTCAAGGTCATCTTCAGGACTACTTTAATCCGGATTTGAACATTCTAGAAGGGAAAAGTATGAGCCAACTAAGAAGCGTGGCAAGTCATTTAAGAGCTGAATACGAAACATTTCTTAGAAAATAAACATATGACTTTTTTTCAAATGAGTTCTGATAGGAATGGGAGTTTCTCACAACTATAGATAAAGTTTGCATTCACCTTTAATTTTTGCAAGTGTTGTCCCATTGATTTCTTTATTTGCCGTAATCTGTTGTTAATTTAACATTATTGGTTTATTTACCTGTATGTGTTGTATATGTTTTTATCATATGTAGTTTCAGAGCTTGTGTTATCATGTGTTGTATACCTGACCTTATTATATAAGTATAGTTCTAAAACGTTTCACATTATTCTCATGTTAAAGAGATAGGACAGTCGAGTTTCATAATAGCCAATTTATTTTATGCTTTTCAGTGGATTACTGATTTATCCGTGAAAATTATGAGACTACTTTTTTAAGATTTTCCCCATGCGGTACCTCAGTTTTATTATTGTTGACAATTCTGACATTGTTAGGACTGTTTAGAGAAAAGCAAAGCTGAAATTGATAAATAACTGAAATTTCAAAAGTAATAAAAAGAAGAAAACTTACTTCAATTCATTCAAATTACCGATCACCAAATATCGTCTCTAAATTTTTGTTTCATGTTTACAGCCAGAAAAATAAAATACCTTCCACATGCAGAACTGCTCTTGATGACATTTGGGCATATTTAAGTATCCTACGAGCAATAACTTGAAAAGCAATGACAGACATCAGCCCGAAGAATAAGTAAATAACCCAGCGTTCGTAAGTTTGTAAGAGTCCATGTGTTCCAATTTCGTAGTCGCTTTTTGAATGTTTACACATCTGTCAACACTTATTAATTTTCTGTAACAATCCCCAAATAAGTTTTCTTTCTTCTTAAAAGTTGTATGACTAACAAATCCAAATGATATCCCTCTGAATCTAACACAACTATTTTCCTCCCATGAAATACACAACTTTTAAAAATGTCTGCCGCTTACATTTCACAGAGCCAAGTCTAATATAAATTCGCCGTAAGTAACAGAAATATAGATGGATGGTTTGACTTTTTCTCCTACTAAAATTGTTTGTTTTTATTACTCACTCTATTCACTCGTGTGAATACTGTTTTTAAAGCTCACGAGATGAAATAAAATTTCATCTTACACTCAAACAAACAAATATCCTCTATATATGCACTGATTACGTGTCGTATGCCGTACGTGTCGTATTCAAATCGTTTCTAATTAATCACTTAGGCCTACCGGCCTTCGTGATTATATTCCTGCGCATTTGAACTCGAACTGTGCATTATTCTACACAATGCACTCAAAATTGACATCTTTTTTCTAACGTTATACATGCCACTAATCAATAGTCATTTACATGTGTAATACTGTTACTTATATTAGATGTTATGCTTTATTATAAGGATGTTACACTGGCTGTCGGTACAGACCGGAATATTTAACTCGAGGGTAACTGTTTACTAGTACGGCGGTAAGGAGGCTCTGCACAGTTACCCGAGAGTTAGATATATTCCGTCTGTGCCGACAGTCGGTGTTTAATTAATTCTTTTTTCTTGCGTATTACATGCGAGTCATTTTTCGAAAAGAAATTATGAAAACTGATATTTTCGTTTAGCTCTTATTTTCTTATAGTAGTGTATGACTTTTTAATACACTTGTTACTATATATAGTAACAAAATTGCCTATGATTTCAACTGATTATGAGTGTCACATGACCTATTATGAGTTTGCGGCCCGGGGCCGAGAACTAGTTATCAGCCCGCAGAACATGTGCACGTGTACAAACTGAAACAATGACGTCATATTTTACGTCATGAAACAGTTAACTGTAAAAGTGAAAGTAGGTTGTCAGCACGAATCGCTTTATTTTTATTATGAGAGCTTAAAAGCGTATTTAGTACAAACACATTTTTGTTACTATTGAAATTTGAAGAAATAATACGACAAATTCATTCCAAAAAAAAAAAAATGAAAATAAAACTTGCTTCTAGATTCTACTGCTTTGAACACACAAACAGTAAACATCTCTGTACAGAACAGTAGAAGAGTAGACAAGAATTTTGAAACGAAAGAACTTTGTTGTTGTTTTTTATTTATTTTATTTTTTTTAAATGCTACTGTTAGATCTACCAAGTGTATTAAAGACATTAATACACGTCAGAGTAGGGCCGGAAGCTGATAATCGGCCCTGAATGAATATTGGCCCTCGGGCTAAAGCCCTCGGGTCCATTATTCATTTTGCGGGCCGATTATCACCTTCTGGCCCTTTCCTGCCGTGTATTAACCTCTTAATAACTTCATTTATAAAGACAAAATGGCGTCGCAATTAATTAAATAAAGGCGCGCATGGATGACATTATTTAAGGTAAGCGAATTGTCTTAAACAGAAGATAACCCTGTCTGATATGCAAGGGAATACATCTAACACGCGGCACATTATTCCCCTATAGGGAAACACGTGCATTATTGCACTATATGTATGCACAGCTGAAAAAAAACGAATGCTTACACGTCATATGACGTCAGACAGATTACGACAGGAAAATTACTTTTATGCACAATGTACGAGGGGTGTTCAAATATGAATGCAACTAGGCCAATATCTATATTAACCATGTTTTGAACGTATCGCTTAGATGGTTGTGTAAGCTCTCAATTGATACAATACATGTAAAAATCAGTTCAGTCTAGCTTTGACAATAGCTCAATCAACACTGTCTACTCGTGTATACTAAAGCTAAAATGGTTGGGAAAAGGTCTCCTTTCACTGACAAAATACGGTCCTATACCAAGAGCCGCTGTATTCTTGGTATACAGGCGAACAACATATTAATCGCATGGTTTCGAACGTTTTCTTTGTTCTTTCTAACCCATTATACTCAGTGCATTTGAAAACTGTATTGATATATAACAGTGCAGTTTTTTCATTGACTCATATAGAGAAAAAACTCAACTGCTATATAGCAGTTGAGTTTTTTTTTTTTTTTCGCACTCTGTATATATCAGTGTAGTTTTTTTTCAGAGAGGCTCCAATGGGACAGGTGTAACGAACATTCCTAGTAGCAAGTAATAAAGAATTAATAATAATAATAATAATAATATTAATAAAACGGATATAAACAAAGATAATTGATGAAATGAAATTTAAAATCAAAAGGTACATCCGCTGAATGAATTATTTTCACTGAAAAAAGCCCTTTAATCTTGAATCAAAATTACTCCTTACAATCCGTCTCTAACATTGGATGTCTTTTAAGTTTTCAAGGGTTGTATATATAGTTGTATATTTGGTTTTCTATTTTTCTTGTTGTTTTTTTTTTCGTTTTTTTTTCGCGGCAGCCGCCTTATTATAAATAATATCGGGATATTTCAGCAAAAATTGTCTCGGCCTAACGGCCTCGCCGTTTTTTATCAGAAACATCCCTTGATGTCGCCCCAGCCAGTGTTATGTCCTCGTAGCTAACTCGTTTCATATACTATAACTATTGCTTAATGAAATATGTCGTGTTTATGGGGAAAATGAACTTTCTTCTTCATCTGTCACTCAGTAAAAGACGCACCTCATGCACGCCGTCCGAAAACTGCAACTTTGCCAAAAATAGTTGAAAAAGTATAGGATTTAATTGCTCCTGATGCAAGATTAACAACTAGGTATAAAGCTAAATGTGTTGTAAGTGCCGCTCATACAATTCTCAGACGTGATTTAAAAATGAGATGGATAAGTACCAGATGGATACCCGATCTCCTTACAAAAGAGTACAAACTTGCTTGCGTTAGAATCTCCAAACAAATGTGGAAACATTTCCCTAGATAAAAGAATCGATCTTTCGCAAATATCATCACTTGCGATGAGACTTGTGTTCACTTTTATGAGACTAAGCGAAAGATACATACACATAACAAAATATGGGCAACCAAAAAAAGTCAAAGACCTTGCGTAGCAAAACGCACCATGAGCGTCAAAAAGGTCATGCATATAATTTTCTTTACCAATCAAGGTCCTGCTTATCTGTAAATGCCAAGTTTTACAAAGGCAATGTCTTTCATGAATTGAAGAAATATTAAAAAAAGCAATTAAAAAAAACAACGTCGACCGGCAACTGGTACCCGTGGTGTCGGGTTGTTGCATGACAAAGCTTCGTCACACAAAGCGGCCATTATACGAGAATAATACTGAAACAGGAAAAGGTTGTCGAGCTTCCTCACTTTCCTTATTCGCAAGATCTTGCCCCTTGTGACTTTTTCCTTTTTGCGAGACTCAAAAAACACCTTGATGAAAAAAAAAACATAAAACCCGAAATAATCTCGGTTCGGCTATTTTCCAGTGTCTGAGCAGTATACCTCGAAAAGATTATGAATACGCATTTAAAAGGTGGATTAAAACACTTAAACTTTGTATATCACATGGTGGTGAGAATTTTGAAGGATTGAGATTATTATTTTGGCACTGTTAGTTAAGTACCCAGTTGCATTAATATTTGAACACCCCTCGTAGTTGAATATAAATTTTTAATAGCATAATAGAATTGGAATAGATATTAACTTTTTTACATTACAATATAATAATGCACTGTTTATCGTTCAAATGTTTGCTAAGTGATTATATTCCTACGCAATTAAACTCGAACCGTGCATTTTTCTACAACAATGTACTCAAAATTGATATATATTTCCTAAATATGTACACTTTCTTATGTGTATGCACTTTACCGGAATTTGACAGTCAGGTCGCGAGGCATTGCCTTATATAGATCTATCATAAAGGTCGCGTAAATCAGTTTCAGTAGCGACATCTGTATGTATATATATATATGTATATATACCGATTTATCAGGTTATACAGGATAAAATACAGACGATGTTTACCGACATTAAATATATCATGTTACTGTTTAAAAAAAATCCAGTTTAAAACTAATAATACATGTGTGAAGCGTTGTATGCATCGTGTTTAAGCTTAAGAAATAAACGAAATAAACAAGTTTACTATCAAGAGATTTAGATCAAAACATTTAGGGAACACATTCATAAGCACGATTTTATGTTTTGTCCATTTAGAGAAAGTCACAAAAGGTCACACTTGTATGGATGAAGTGAAAACACAACTCTAGTATTTGAATGAAAATAGGGCATTTATTAAATGCCATAAAATATATAGCAACTAAAAAACGTTTTCACAAAAACATAACTGGGTGGAAAAAACCGCCTTAACATATAATACTGTAACATATAATGTTCATTGTTAACATATAATACTGTAACATATGTTTGAAACAAAGGCGAAATAATTCAGTAATATAAAACGTTGAACAATGCGAATGTAACAAAGGTGAAAACAATAAATTGAAAATAAACATGACAAAGTTTAGAGGAGGAGGCGATGGGAGGAGGTGGTTTTCCAAAATTATGAGACAAATTTTAGCGAGCGTTTCACGCACGCAAAGTAAACAAAGATTAATGGCTTGTTAATTTTGATTGGTTAATCAGACCAACGTGATAAAACCTGGTTTGTTGATTGGCTAAAAAGAATTCCTTAAAAAGTCTGTTCCTTAAG